TTGTGTAGGTAATGCTTGTACAGCAGGGTAGTTATGTTACGACTAATGTCTTCCATGCTACTAGCACTTCGAATGAGCGTCACTTTGAAATTGTACAATGAAATATTCTTAATATTTGTGCTTGTAAATTGCTATTATATACATAATGTTACAATATTTACGAAATATACCTAAATATATAGTTTAATGTGTGCGGAATTTATAGAATAATGTATTTGCAAATATTATTTTTAATTATGTGCTAATAAACAATTTGTTTAGATGAATAATCGTTAAAAATGACTGAGATTGAGAACACTTCTATGTATTGAAAGTTCTATGAATAATCATATTCAATAGTTATTTCCTAAACATACTAAATTTACCTTTCATAAATAGAATGATTAGCTCGTAATTGTTGCGTTAGTCATCGAATAAAAGTAAATTAATATATTAATTAGAAAATTATTTTACTTATAATTAAGAAAACTAACAAAAATTTATCTGAAATACCGGGAAAAAGTATTCTTCAACGCTTTCCAATAAATAAATAAAAGAAGGAGTCGATAGAACATTCATAAATAGCTCGTTCGTATGTTGATTCAAGTATAATATCCTAAATAGAGAAAATGGAACCCGTAGAGCCTGAAATTTAAATTCACCGTAATGCTTTTAAACGCTTCGCCAAGAGAGCAGTCAATTTTCACGCAGTTTTTATCCGCGCCGGTCCCTGAATTATTGACTTGATAATGGCCCCGTGAAAAGAACACAGGGGGACGGATATAGCCCTATAAAATCATATCTCGGCCGCGTAGAGAAAGAAAAAAGGAACTGACGCGTCCATATTTGCAACCACTTTACAAGCTCGTAAAACTTCATTACAATCGTTGATACACATGAAACACGATCGCGATCTCCCCCTTCCTCTCAGTTCGTAAAACGGTAGACTGGTTAATTTTAATTAATTATCGCGGTTCGTATTTCATTGAACCGTCCGCAGCCTGTAATCTCCAATGTTTGAACAGGGCGTCCCCATAATCTTTAAAATCTCGAAGGATCGGGGTGAAGATATCGTTTACTCGTCCCTTTTTACACGGAGATCGCACTGCCAATTAGCAGCGAAGAAAAATGACTCATCCGGCCGTAATAACCGGCCAATTATGTAACCGCGTTTATACGGGCGCCGTGTATCACTGTAATATATTACTGAAATTATGTTAACGTCTTTAACGCGTTCCCGCTTCCACTTTACCATTGACCCGAATGAAATTCGCGTTAAAAGTGTTACACAACAATCGTAAAAGGATCGCGAATATAATGAAGCCGAACTAATAGCTGGTTGTCGTCGCTTGGACGTTGAATATTATTGCAACAGGGCTATGATTAAATTAGCGTTACTATGTCAAATTATAATTCTTTTCAATGAAGGCATTATAAAATTTTCTTTCTCCTTCGTAAAATTTCGGGAGGAAATTTTTAACTTGAATCCAGTTGTCCTATGAAATTGAATTTCATCGGTAATTGTAATAATAATTTAAGGTGCACTGAGCTTTACAGAATTTTACGTGTTTCTTATCCTCGTGAACAATGTACATTTACGCACAATGGCTAATAACAGTTTTTATCTTCGTGAGAGGAACTCGAAGTAATGCCGTCCGGCTACGAGATTATAATCATCGAGTTGTTAATACTCTCTAGAGACGAAATAATCGTTAATTAGTTTTGTATTTAATTTGAAATAGTAGGTATTATATTGTAGATTATTGAAATTTTTAACATTTTTTATTTTAATAGAAAGAAAAGGTTATACCTAGTGTGTTATTAAAAAAATGGAGATGTTTCTGGAACCTTACAAAATGCACCGCTGGAATTATATAGAACTATATATTAGATAAAATCTAATGTATTTTCGAAGCGTTAACTATAATGCATACAGATAGGTGTCTCGTGTAACAGAACAGGACCATTTTAATTCACTAAGAATGTCCTCTCCAATTCTTTCTGGTTTCACTTTAGTTTAGGTAGCACTTTCATCGCGATCTAAATCAGTGTTGCACTGTACGTTCGGTAATTGTATTTTATTTCGAGCAGTTTCTCCTTTACTGCCCACTTTAAATTCGCGGATTGCCTTTCGTTTGTCGTTACAGCGACGAACTAAACTGGTAACAAAGAAACGTAAGAAAAGCAAAAGTTCATCCATACGACAATGCCGTGATGACAATGTACTCTAAAATGATAAACTGCACAATATACATGATTGAAAAATTGATGGCATACGAAATTCTCAATATTAGGCTGTTAAACATAGCAAATTTCCTTCCAGACAATCGAACATATTAAATATCCTTGCGAATTGATGGTTCACGTTCAACGTCAGACACGAGAAGCAGATCTAAAACTGGTATTGTGCAATTTTATTTAATCAAAGTTAAAAAAGAAACTGGATTTACCGGTACACCTCCATTGTGATATTACTCTCCGTGCAACCGGTACCGCGGATCAACCGTGTACACGTACAGCAATAAACGGCCGACGATGTACTTACGTATGGAAATGCGGGAGTGAGGCAACCGAAAACCGAGAATATTTAATTCCCGTTGCAAAATTTAGTTCGAGATCTCGTTTCATCTGGAATCGGCCATGATTTTCTCGTTCGGCAAACCGGCGGGACGTTTCCGCTGATCTTCCCGCGCCGCGATTCCCTTGAATAAAGAGCATGCCCCGACGTTTCGCGTAAAAATTCAAATGTTCCCAATAAAGTTTCCACACTTGGTTCGAGCCCGATAAAAAAGGTGATTGATGGCCTGATAAAAATTCGACATCCTGCACACGGGGGAATGATTTACAGTTATAACGTCAGCTTTACGGCGCACTATTTACAGCGACGCTCCGTAACGTCATCGTCGATCTACGTACGTCACATATTAATGCCATACACATTTTGAATTACAAAATCGAGTGCTGAGCGCATCGACAAGAAAAATCGATCGTCGATGAAAGAAATCGTCCGTCGAACGTGTTGCGCGGGGAATTCATAAAAATATTTTCTCTTTCGCCGTTGCTTCGCTTCTATGCATTCCCTTTGTCCCTTTGATTTCTCTGAAAGGTTCGGATGGAAATACTGTTCTTATTAAATTATCCTAAGTGTTAATCGGAGCATTTAAATATTCTATGATTAAGTAATCATGAGAATCGTCGCGATCTACCTCGAGAGAGCACAGTTTGCTACGCGCCTCTAGCCCTTTCACTGCTGCGAACAAACATGTCGTCGGTTCGTTGATCAAATTGCTGATATTCGATTGAAAAGTATTCATTGTATATAAATTTATTTAAGATTATTTCTCATATTTTTCTCTTGTTTTAAGAAATCTAAAGTTCGTACAAGTTTCTTATTCGAATTATCGTTGAAATCAACGAATGTTTTCCTTTTAATTCATTCCAAAATTTATCTGCGACGAATTGAAACTTTCAACCTTGCCGCTCAGTCATTGCGACTGATACCACTCGGCTCCACTTCAAGAAGGACAGTACGCGAATACATTTCGAGACGTCACAAGACGTGATCACGTATATTTATATGTCTGATGAAATATTGTCGACACTGGATGACAGTTCTCTCTGGAACTTTCACAAAATTATTTACTTAAGACGTAGGTAGTTGGAAAGCTCCGGATTTTCCTCGGAATAAATTAATCTACTTTCGCAATTGCTCGTAATCAATCATTGGGACATTCCGCATCTTGCAATGAAACGAATCATGAAAATTATTGTTATTAAACAAAAGAACAGAAGGTTTGAAAGTTTTGTTATTAGCGAAACAACTCGAGTTCGACCAAAATCCTCTCGAAAACCCGCGTCAACGGTAAATTGACAAATTACCGTAGAAGGGTTCAACCTGCTCCCGACAGCGGGACTTGTTACACCCCATTCAAGCTTAACACAGTAGACGCAAGGTGCGGCAAATCAGAGGCAACGTTTCCCCTCCATTCGACGAATCTTTACCGGCGATACGATAGCGGAATACTCCGACGCGTTTTCATCCCTTCCCTCCTCTTAACCCTTTCGGTGCAGAATGTTTTATTGCCTACAGTGCTATTATATCAGCGCAAAGAAATTTGGACAAAATAGTTTTATTCATTTTTTAAGATTTTTACAAGTATCATATATGCATAGTAGTCTTTGTCCTATGAACCGAGACTCTATAGATATATCGCACAACTTTAGAAGATTTTTTCACTAGAGATGACACTTCGAATGTACTGTGAATGCGCTCATAGCACCAAAAGGATCAACCCTTGAAAAGCATTTATGCTTCTGTACAGTTATCAGTAGCACACGTTAAGTTCGTTCTATTGTTTCTTAAAAATTATTAAAATAAAAGATATCTTTCTTTTAAAAATCTTTGGTAACATAATTTGCTGAGTCACATACAGTGATTTCGACTTTTGATTCTACGTGTGAATGAATTTGAAAAAGTGTCCGTTGGGTGCTACTGGATTATTAACACTATGTGGTTTGAAGTTTTCTCGATTTTTCACTTCGAAACTTGCATATGAGTTGATGGCTTACTAATTTATACGAGTAACCCTTTTAGTGCCTGTATATTTACGTTTGAATCGTACATATCAAATCAGCTTTAGCAGTTGTGGTATATACTCATTGATCACTTGATTAATTTACGTAAGAGCCCTAAAACTGTATTTGTATACGATATGATTACAATATTACAAATAATTACAATAGAAATTGGTAAAGTCCATAGACAAAGTAAAATAAAATGTCCAGTCTGCCTATATATAAGACCTGAAAGGGTTAAGAGTTAAAGGGCGAAAAGACGATCTCGTATCCTAATAAAAGTGTTCCGTAAGTCAGCTGCTATTCAGCAACCTCGAACCGACGTTGTCGCAGCGAACGGGCTAGGTAGATCGTAACGCGCGGTTCGAATTCGTTAACAACTACAATGAGGCCGCATGATAGGTATAAAAGTAGTAAGAAAAATAAGTATAAGAGAAACAACATGCCCTGGCTCGAGGAGAGGACCCTGACTCTGTTTGTACGGGACACAGAGGTCCGCCGGTACGAACCAGGAGTGCGTGAACGCGGGGTTGATGTTGAGCGCCCCAGCGGCCCCCTGATGGGGTCCGCCGACATCGACGCCGACACCGACACCGACCCCAACCGGGCTTTGACGTTGAAAGCCCCCATAATCCATGGCCACCTGATACGGCAACATTTCCCTTCTCTCCTCTCAATTCCTCCCAATATCCTCCCTTCTATCCTCTCCCTTCAATCCTCCACCCAAAATATTCTTCTTCCTGTTCCTTCTTCTTCCCGGATCACTGGCCACCACTAAATCTCCCCGGCGAGGAAAAATCAAATTTGTCCGTGCACCACAGTTCACCTTCCCGCACCAAGGAACAACTCGCTACCGGGCACACACCGGAGAACAGTCATATCTTCCCGGGGATCGTCATCGTCCATCGCGCGACGCGTCCCGGTGCCGCGTGCCGACTCGACCGCGCCGACATTGCGTCGCGTGAAAACGGAAACGAAAACGAGAGCGCGGCCGCGGAGCAACCCGGAGGGAAAGACGGTAACGTCGTGTCTCGTACACCGATGAACGGTCCCGGTGTGCGTCTCTGTCCGTGTAAGTACGCGCGTATCGACGCGACAGGCGGAGAGCTCACGCGCGCGCACGTGCGTGTCAACAACTCGGACTCTCCTCGCGTGGACCAGCTGTTACGGGGTCCCTTCGATCGCTCGGATCACGCGGGCCGCGATGTGCGCCAGTCGGACGCGGGGGTTGCAGCCAGACAGCTAAACGGCCGGTTCGTGACCGAACGACAGACTGGACCGGACTGTACCGGCTCTGTAACGTGACGCCGCGCGCAGAGCCGCGTCGGGGGGAGTGAGACAGCACCCTATGGTGGGAAGAGGAGCGAGAAAGAGGGCGCGAGAGCGTGCGCCGAGTCCCGGCCCCGATGGCCCCGCCCACGACGCAGCAGCTTCGCGAATGGGGAACCGGCATCGGGGGAGACTGGCACGCCTACCGCCGTCGGCAGCGGTCACCGGCGGCCGCGCACGCTCTGGCCGCGTTTGCGTCCGCTCGCACCCTCCGTTGACGGACAGACGGATCGCGCGACGGCTGCCGCACACCGATGCCGCCGCCGGCCACGGAACTCGCCGCCGCCGAAGCCCCGCCCATCGCTACTAATGACACTTGCCGGATGGTTAAGAGGTCGGATCGTACACCTACGCGGGAGAGGCTACCTTGCCGCGAGCCAAGGGCGACGTTCCCCGGAAGTGGCTTGCGAGCGAGCCACGTGCGCGCCCGACGAACTTAACCCTCGCACCGAACGTCTGCGCGGTTTCGACGGACGCGTCGCCGCCGACGGAGCGCTTCGGATTTGTGATGTCAGACGGTTTAATCGTTTTAAGTTTGTTTCCGGTGGATCTACTGTTTCATTTGTATTTTGAGTTGTTGGCACTTCATTGTCGAGTATAGTTTTGTATAGATTCGTTTCTCGTAGTGGGAGGCGTTTATGCTTTTGTAGAGATCAGGCGATGGTTTATGAAAGTTATTTGTGGATCGCAATACATATTTCTTTTTACTTTTCAGTAATTGTTAAAAATACGGGGTTTAATATTTCGTATTGTGTCTTTATGTTCATGTGATTGTCTTTATAAATTCTGGCATATAAAAATGAATTTAGAAAAATGAGTTAAAATGATTTTTGTGGAAAAAGAACGTCGGTAGCTTTATGTGTAAATATTAAGGGTTGTTTCTAATTTAATGACTGTTGTTCGAAATAATTCGCTGTTGTACGATTTCTGTATAAGTGAATTCCCGATTAATGTGTTTTAGTTTAAAGTTTCTATTTAATAGAAACTCCACGTAACTGGAGAACAATAATCAACTAACAATTAAATGCAATGACTATTCTGCGCTACTTTGTTTTCTCCTTGTCTAACTACTGCGAGTATTGCAACTGTGCAACACTTTTTATCAATAGCACACTTGCTTAATCAATTCGAAAGAAAAAATTTCCTAGTGCAGCCACAGATTCCGTATTCATTTGTCTTTTCCAAGTATTTCCATCTGATTCGATCGCGTCGTTCATTATTTCAATATAGCTGGTCGATAGAATACGAACGAGAATTCATAACAGTAGTGTCTGTGGTCGGCAAAATGGAAAACAGGAAAAAGTCGACGGCTAGAAATAACGTCGGTTGTTATTTCCGTTTACTCTCTGAGTCCTCGTAAAGCAAGAAGGCGGTCGTTCCTCATGGATATTCATAGGCCGCCGACTTTTTCTGTTACTCAATCGGCGATCGATCGTCGATTTATCTCACGCATCGTCTTTATGCAATTACGCGGACGGAATGCGCGGAACGTAACAAAAATAAAATAGCCGAGAAATTGACGCGAACCGCGACACAGGCGTCCGATACCGGTGAAAATAACGCGGCGGCGGCGTCGGCGTCGGCGGCAACATGGCACGGTGTTTCGCGTCTCCACGACAAGGTGGAAGGAGGAGGAACAGGTACACAGGCGCGTAATCGACTGCAGGCACCCACGCCCTTACCAGACGCCATGATTCTCTTTGATTAGGTGCGCGATACGTGCAAATGCCCGACGCTGCTCCGTCGTAATAGCGCGCTGTTACCACATATCGACGTCTAGCCTCCGTATTTTTTTCAAAATAAGACACCCGTCCGTTCGTTTCTCTTTTTACCTTCGAGTATGGACGTGGATTTCATCTTTAAGTATGGAAGTCTGAAAATTACCGATTAATGCACAATATTTTCGTTTGTAGCATGACCGAGAAGCAAATTTACTGTGTTTATTTGTTTTTACTTATTTAAATATTTCTAGGTAGCAACAGTAGCAACTATGAGACGAATATTTCACTGGTTCCAAAACTTACAATATTTTGTATAAGGTAAACCGAGGCGAATAGGATTAGTTTATATTTAACAGCGAAAAATTAAAAGTTAATCTTAGAATCAACATTTTTTTTCGTAAATTTTTTATTAATACACAAATCAGTAAACAAATTTTCTAAGTTTAAAAATCTCAGTTTTGTAAGCGAAAATCTGAAAATGAGAGATATCCGATCCGCCTGGGCTCATTTCTGTAACAGTGTTAGAAACATGGCCAATACTCTTATTTTTATGCGATTCACTTTGGTCTGCCCTAAATGTCTGAGACCGCACGTCCATGCTTAAAGGTTAACCTTTTCTAGTCGTATCAATTTTATACAGTAGTGCCATGCTCGTCGGAATTAATTTTCATGGAGTGGACAATAGCAACGTAATAAGTGATGGTAAACAGTAAATGAAATTTATTATTTTCTTGAAACCTTAGGCATATTTAGTAAAATAATAAAGTTTTATTTAACATAAATTATACGAGTGAAACTGTGAAAGAGCTTTGATGACTGAGAATTAGGCATACGACCGCAAAGGGTTAACATTCGCAATCGTGTGTAATTTTTCCGAAATCTGGACAAAATGTGTATGAATGTAAAAAATTATGATAGAATTACGTTGTCAATATTTGGCTACGGATTTTTAAATGACTTCGAATTAAGCGACCATTATTCCTTTGAAAAATGTAAAATGACATGGAATTACGTTACTGGTCTTTTTCGTAACTGAAATTAGAAACATCCTTTTGTTGAATTTCTTCAGCGACGATTTGTTCCCTGTGATAATGTTTGTTACAAGCTGTATTAGCCTATCAGCGAATTAGAATTACACAGTAACATTCCGTTCTTTTAAGTTCAAATGAAACATTACTTTTCATTGTTAGCAATTTGTACGGTTTAGAATAAATTCATACATAGAAAGAGTATAAAATTTGTTTTACTAGCGCATTGTTAACGATGAATCATTCTAACAAGTGCAACTGTGAAATTAAATCATTGGTCAAACGGGTTAAAATAATGAACTACTGAAATAGGGCTTCCATTCATTGTTAACACATTGTTGACCGGCAATTTCACGCAGAAGCTATCCCAAGTCACCGGTTATTATTTCGTAATTAAATATGAAAGTGAAACAATCCAAATAAACTTCAATATACTTTATTTATACATAATGAATTGAAATGAAATTTTGCACATATCTTTTATACAACTTTGAATATTTTGCTCTCGCAATATTCTATATTACCCTGCGTTTCAAAAATTGAAATAACTAATGTAAGGACAAAGCCGAGTTAACTCGTGACCGGTCAACAACGTTTGAACATAGAAACACGAGTTAACCTGTGACCGGTGAACAATGTGTTAACAAGAAAACCGCGCGAACTTTTCTTGGTATCTACGTAATAACATTTCATCGTGTAAATGAAAAAGAGGCGCCAGGCAGCGATGTCCACGCAACGAAAGTTCGGTGTCCGATGGATCGACGTCCGAGGGTTGAAGCAGCCGGGGCGTGAATTCATCGAACGATCAGGCTGACGGTAGCGACGTCAAGGAAACGGGGGGAGGGCTAGCGTGTGCACGGGAAAGAATCGTGGCGAAGAGCGACGCGGGCCGCGTCGCTGGGTGCAACGAGCGAGCGGTACTTAGCATGCATCCCCCGATACGAAGGATTCCTTATTGTATCGTTGCACGTGAGCGTAATGCACAAATATGAACTTAGCTGCGGGCTCGTTCTTCGTCGTGTCTCTTCCTCCCCCACTCTCTCTCTTTCTGTCCCTCTCTCTCTCTCTCTCTCTCTCATTTCTCTCTTTCTCTTTATTTCTATCTCTCTCCCTCCCTTCCCCGTTCGGTGATAACTCCTAACGTCCTCATAATCATACATATGGATGCCTTGTGTTCGTTGGCTGCTCGTCGCTTGACCAAACTGTGTTTACGCGGACGAACGATAGCAGCCAGAGTTGGGCATTATTTGAATTGTTTCGAATAAATGGTTATTTAAGATAACTGATTGAATTCGCTCGGTTCAACGCTTCATTGGGCTGACAATCGTTCGTTATTTTTATATAGGTAATCGTTTTACTTATTTTCTATGGACCCCGGAATTCGGGGCGAATCGGATGTTTCTCATTTCTCAAATTTTTTTGTTGTACAACAAAGATTTTAGAGTTACTCAAAATTTGTTTTACTGATATTGAAGCTGAATGTTTATTAATCACGAATTTATGAAAAAAAATATTCATCCTCGATTTTAAGTATTAGTGTTTCTAATTGTTAAATCTGAATTGATCTGATTCGTTTCTGACCGCACTAATCGTTTCATTTATTTCGAACGGTTATCCACCGTTGTCACTTGAATTTGATCGATATCTATAGGTAAATACACAGTAATAGGCTAATTACTGGTTTAGCGAGAAGTAGTAAGGTTTTACGTTCGGTACCAGTAAAAGTATATTGCAATAATGTGGTGAGATTAACATAATAGTTTACGAAAGAGACGAGGATGCACGTAAGAACCAATAAAAATACTTCAAATAATAAATAATTAAATGTATAGAAGTATACTATTTATCAGTAGACAATAAAATTTTATTTAAATGATAGTTACTCGTTGTCTTTTATCTGAATAAAATATTGCTCGAAGGAGATAGCAGCTATTTTCCGTGACCAGACAATCGCGTGTTTGTTAACAAGGCAAAAGGAACGATTTCTAAGCACTGTGGACGATTCTTGTTGATTGGTATGCGTACACGATCGATAAACAGGGGCTGTTTCGTCGAAACCCAGGAAGAACGGGTTCCAGGGAACGGACGACGCGCGGCTTTCTAAATTCTCGATTGCCTACGTGGCTACCACGACGCTCGGCCAATTAATCGGCCCGCCGCCATTGCGGTTTAGAGCCGTTTTCATGGCTC